AGAGATTTCTTTTTTCACTTCATGGCTTGGACTTGAAAGAAGGGCACTGATAAAGGGGATGATGACTTTGACAATTAGGACAAGATGATAATTTTAATTAAGTAACGTAAGAAGATCTCTTTGAGCTATCCCCTTTAGAGGTACAGACCTGAGCCTTAACATTGATTGACTCTTATGTGATGATTTCTGACTTAATAAAATCTCTAACTTGGTATAGAGTGGGTGCGGCAATAGAATTACCTAAGGATCTTTGCCAATTTCGTTCCGTGTTATTATCAAGTCCATCAACTATCCAGGCGATGTAAGAATCAGCGAAACCTAAGTCTTTACTTAAAGTAACTAACGAATTAATTAAGCTAACGATCTTCTTTTGTATGTGCTTCAATTCAGTGAAAGAATCGAGTTTCATAGGTTTACAAGAGAGGATTATCAAAGTATATGAGTGAACAAAACGACGCTGACTCTCAAAAGTGTTAACGAAAGTATCCCAAACATTCTGATATTGCTGTTTAGTAACTGCAATACCTTGAGTTAAATTAAGCGTTTCTCCAGACCGATGCGCTTTTAAGTGGTGAAATTTAACGATCGCTTGAATATCTTCTCTTTGATGAACTAAAGCCCTAAACAGATCATGAAAATGCTCTCATTCTGAGTTATTTCCAAAAAACTGAAGCAATTCAATTTTTGGAAGCGAAGAATTCGCTTTAGCAGCCCGAATAGGAGCTGAAGGAGCTGGGGGAAAGGAGGGTTAGGATCCTGTGGAAACGAACCAACAAATCCTGAAAAATCTCTCTTTACATTAAAATAAGCATTGATAATGAGATTATACAACTCTGAAATAAAATACTTGTGGGTTTCATCTAATTCATCTGATTTAAGAATTTCTGAAAGAGCTAACTAAAGTTAGAAACATGAAATTTCACTGCTTCTAAATATGAACGAGCTTTCCCTTTTGTCATATTAGCTTTACCGAGCTTCTTAAAAGTATCGAAAGAATTAACAATTCTCTTGTGGCGTTTAAGCTGCTCATTGTAGAGAGCTTTCATGTTTTCTGACTATAATATAACTAATCAGCCTCAACTAACATTGTTGAGAACTTGACTGAGAAGCAAGAGCTAGATTGGAGAGAATTGAGCCAAGACTCAAATTAGGCTACACAACTATAGGGAAATGAACCATATAAACGATAAATTACAAGAAAATTAAGTATCTATCCCGTTTCAACACAAATAATGCAGTGATAAATACTTCCTGACAGAGATGATCGGCTTCACTCAGTAAAACATCCACAACTTGATTTTGAATCAAACGTAGTACTTTACAACAGTGATAGATTATTTTAACTCGTGATGCAATGATCGCAACAGTACGTAAACTAAAGTGATACGTTCAAGTGTCATACCTGGATGTTATCTAACTCAGTAGACGACTTACAACTTATCAAGTGTGATGACAAGCAAACTCAAGTGTCCGTTAATGGGCAAGACCCCTTTGGGGTAGCGACAATCGAAGACACAGCTTACGATGGCTCGGTACAAAGATGGCTATTGCGACTGTAGATGCGATGATTGCAGTGACTATCGACGCAAGTGATGACAGTAGTTACGTACTAAAATTAACAAATCGAACGTATATTGGTAAACGATAGTAATCTAATAGAAGAAGCACAGTCTCCGCTGGTGAGTTCATGTCTGCGAGCTTAATACAATCAAATTCAAAGACAAGAGTCACGCAACGCCATACTCAAATACAAGATTTACTTATACTATTATATAGAGCGGTGCGAATAAAAGAGAGGTAATAAGTGCTTAAGATATACTATGCGCCTGTATATCACTCCCAAATAAATTTTCACATGTACTTTTTACTGAGATACAAGGACCAAAACTAATACGTATACCTGTACGTATGCTTAACACAAAGCAAGCGAGCGAAAGTAAAACAACAACACGAGGCACTCAGCACGCACCGATCTACTATAATAGAGCTAGAATGAGAGAGACGAGTTGCCAAGGTCAAAGCTAGCCGAAGTAAGTGCTTTAAAGCCAACTCAAAATAGCTGCCACACAACGCACAACTAAGTTAAATGATGAAAAGAGCCGTTTAACTAAAGCGACTTGCCCCGCTCCACCACTACAGATCTGGCTCAAAGGACTAATGTTAAAGATAGAGACATTAGTGAATGGACTGTATAATTTAAATTTTAATTACCACCGGCTAAGTAGCAAGGGAGAGAGGGAGGATGAGGAAGTTTGTTATTATGACAAAGTCGTCTCTTACTTTATTAATATACTGAACACCAAGTTTAACGAAAACTAAAGTATTTAATATTAACTGACTTCTCTTTACACTTTAAAAGAAATTGAAAATGAAACTCTTAGAATTTATAAAAGCTACTAAAAGGAAACTAATGCGACTTATAGCGATGCGTATAGCTTAGCGAGCAGACGTGAACTGACTTTCAGAGCGCAAGAGCCTAGAAGTCTTACATGCGCGTGCGCCCATACATTCACACAAGTACACACATATTATCTTATTCTCTCTTACTTGCGAGCAGTAGCCAGTGGACTACTTCACATAAGCTTACGATCGCGAGTATACTTGAATATCCAACATGCTCCCCGTCTTTGCTAAACCAAAGGGAGAGCAACAAGAAAAATTAAAAGTCTTTGATTTAAACTAACAGAAATAGAATAAGTTTAGTCACTGGTTGCTCAAGAGTCGCAAGGGCTAAGCAAAGTTTAACAACGCAGACCAAACCATCTCTGTCAGGATATACCTCCGCACATAAAATAGCGAGAAACGATAGAACAAACAGATTGCCTACCTCAAGGCACATAAGACTTCTGTCTTGATGTAGTGAGAGTGAGTTGCGTACCTCCATGAAGCGTGAGATTCATGTATTATAAGGTTAACAAAGTGATCACCCGGTTGCAAGAAGATGGGATGCTTGCTAAGGTCGATGAGACACGATTGACTTAATCTACTGCCTACTCGAAGTAATCAATTAATTGGTACCAGTTTAAGTGGAAGAAGAGGACTATTTTAAGGTAGAGTGACGATAGTCTTGCTTCCTCGGTTTGTTAGGTCCAGAGTATTCTCAAGGATCTCATATTCTGATTTAAAATACGACCTTTAATGAAACCAAATAAAAATAAATTCAGAATTTTCCATTTCATCAGAACTTAGGACGAGGCTTTCGGTCTCAAGAAGGAAGGTCTAAGGAAGTTTGTTACAATGACTAAGTCGTCTCTCACTTTATTAATACACTGAACACCAAGTTTGACGAAAACTAATTCATTGAATATTAATTGACTCCTCTTTACGATTAAAAAAAAAGAAAATATAAAAATCTTAGAATTTATAAAAGTTATCAAAAGGAAACTAAAGTGACTCATAGCGATGCGTATAGCTTAGCGAGCAAACGTGAGCTGGCTCTTGAAGCACAAAAGCCTGTAGGCTTTTATAGAAGTCGTACATGCGCGCGCACACATACATTCATCCAAGTACACACATATTATCGTATTTTATCTTTCTCGTGAGCAGTAGCCAGCGGACTACTTTACATAAGCTTACGATCGCGAATGTACTTGAATATCCAACAGTCACCCCTTAAAAATGACTACTTCAACTTGTTTATCAATAAACACATTAGGTGCTGTATCTCTGCTTAATCTGATAAACCTTCTTGTGATTCAGTTTTATTATATCCTCATGATTATAATTAAAAGCTCTTTATACCTATTCCATTTGTTAATCATCAATTGTTTTTTTAATGTAATAATCACCTTGAGCCACAATATATACAAGTTTTTTCATCGACTTATAAATCTCTTAGTAATAGCATTAAATAAGTAAAAGATAAAACATCTAAGCAGGATATGACTTGTGCCGTGTATAAGTTCTTTTGTGGCGATTGTTACACTAGTTATGTTGGACAAACAAAACAAGCTTGAAGACATCGTGTTAACGAACATTCTAAAGGATATAAATACGACTTAGTTGCTTCTGAGCATGTAAGTAATTTTATATACAATTTTAAATGGAACTCTGTAATTATTTATAACAAAGAACCTAACAACAAAAAAACGCTATCAGAGATGATTTATATTAATTTAAATAGAAGTACTTTCAATAGTAAAGAAAACGTTGACATGCTCGGTATAGTGCACTCACCTTTGTGAAGATTTTTGTCAAACATTGACAGGCACCAAGCCATCTAGTATCTGTCATTCTGTGCCCAGACATAATGAGACCATTACTTAATGAGGACGTAAAGTTGACTAGAGTGAATTTTTACTTGAACTATTTTAGGGACGCCAATAAGTTGGTAATAATCATTTAATTTTCATAATTGTTGATTAATTAATCTTCCTTTTATATTTTAAGCTTTTGTACTTTATTGTAAAATTTTTTGTGTGCTTATAGTTAATAAATTATTTCGGTCTGATAAGGTCCACATAGTTTGTGTTATTGTTGCTATTTCCTTAAACACTAACCATGCTATCTAGTGTTGAATGTCTAATGCAAAAGACTTTATTATTCTAAACAAAGGGTTTTTCAGACAAGATTTGTATCCTGTTTTTGCAGCAAATGTTAGTTCTTATTATTTATCATTTTATATAGTTTAAGGACTTTTCAAAGAATATCGTTCTTTTTTTAAATGACTTGTTTTTTTACCTATGTACACTACAGTTAAAAACCGTCAGAAGTTCTCGCAAAAATCAACTATAGATTTTAGCTATACATAACTCCTAGACTATACATTGATGTAACGTACTTTGGTTAATTTAATTTTTAATTTTTTTTCCATAACCAGATGCTTCAAGTGTACGTAAGTTAAGTTTTTTATTATGGTTTCTATATAATGTACTATTTCTGTTACATACGATTAAGAAGCCTTATGTAATTGGATAACGATATTCTAAAAATTACATAAGTATTAAGTTATTTTTATCAAAAAAAGTGTATTTTTTTTCCTAATACTAAGTACTTTACAGGGATCTGTTCAAATCAAATAAGCCAGAGTAGTCCAAATGACAATAATTTTAGTACATGGTGTTCAGAAAAGCCACGGTTGCAACGTTCAATGGTTCAAAGTAGGCGCACATTTCAGTTAAAAAAAAGTCGACGCAATAATATTCAGGTAACTTGGCTTTTTTTGCATATTTGTATTAATGGTTTACAAAAATCCCTTAGATAATGTAACATGTTATAAATAGAATTAACACGTCTATTCTTAGATAGGGCTGAAACGATATTCCTTGTATACCCCTTTCTAGCAAAAAAATTCCTCATCTCAGAATCCTTTTTATGTAAATGACGTGGCACTTTGAGTCAGCAACTAAATTTTTTTTTAATCAACTAAAGTTGCTTTCAATAACGGTGAGACTGTTGTTAGAAAGCTTTTGTCGGTTAGTTTTACAATACCTAGCAATTAATTCTAAAAATCGTAAAAAAGAATTCCTTACAATTTTATTGAAATTTTGAACGATTGTTTATGTAGCTTTTTACAAAACCTTATTTATTACTAAATGTCGTATGAGATACAAAAAACAAACTTACAAAGAAATTCAGTTAAAATAAAAAGTACATATTATAATTTTGCGTAACATTTAGTCGACTAATTAAGACTCAAAATAATGAGCATTTTATAAATACTTACACGAAAATTTTAAACCTGCGTCCCATGCCAATTGAACTCTTATTTTATTAGCTTAATGTAAGACAACTAAGACAAAGTTTAAAAAAATGTAAGTGTTATGGTAATACATAACTTCCATGGTAAGAACGAAGGTTGTTTGAATTTTATTTACCTTATTAATGGAAAATACTTTTATTAACTATATATAAATGTGTTTATATAACGATATTGAGTTTTGCAGAGGATGATGAGGGCCCTTTTCACCAAAAGCTAAAAATACATGCATCAGAATGGAAAGAGTAAAAATAAAGAAAAACTTTGAATCCAGTCAGTAAGAAAATGATTTTTATGCACCTGTTTATGACACAGTTGTTCTACTACTTGAGTTTCCAAGGAGCCATAAATTCTTTCACACCGTAGATTCGGATTAGTTTTTGTTTTAATGATAACTAACTGTTTTGGCCTCCAACTCAGTTGATATAGATAAGCTTAAAAATGATTCTAATGCTCTCTGATAAACTAGAGATCTTATGTAATCTGCAAAATACACAAGCAATATTGATACACTCATATCGACGCTTGTCAGTAAATTGGAGGTTATGTATTCTATGCACACCCGGATATGATATTGTTTTTATTCCTATTCATTTTTCAAATTTGCTTGAAATAGAAAATGCAAGAAAAATTTTAATTTTAAGTCTTTAATATCGACTAATAAGACTTACAATCGAAAAAAGGACATGGGTGGTTTTAAAAGTCTTTACATTAAAGTGTCACTGTCTATATAGATGACAATCAATAAATTTGTCTCTCGTAGAGTAAAGTTAAATCTCTAATTCATAAGCACGCATTCGAATTATTTTTCAACTTATTTGTTAAAACTAAGCTTGCGGTGTAAACAGCTTATAACAATTAAGAGTGAAAACTTATCTAAGCCTGCAGTACGAGAGAACGCAAGTCTTCTCGGTAGCTCAAGTGGTAAAGCAACTGTGTAGTCATCCGGAAATTGTTTATCCAAACCACACTTAGTAAATAGTACTCTTTAACAAAAGAAAATAGTAATTTTTAATCTCGAGTATATTTGCCAAAAAAAAAAAAAAAACATAAAAGTGCAGCGATCTGCATACCTGCCAATTAGTATGATGATAAGTGGATCAACACTGCTGGTGTACTTTATAGAGTCACATTAGTTCTTAACTTTGAAGTCACCTCCAAAGGATCCAGAAACCAATATTTAGAAGCTCCACTTAAGATGCTTGACTTCTATCAGAGGGGAGTGTGAAGGATAGGTTTGACTTTGGGCCCTTTTTAGGTAAAAAATGCATGCGCATATCGCGTTATTTAATATTGAGTTGTATGAACACTCTAGATTATTCATTTAAGAACTTTTTTTACATATACCTAATTGACATGGTTGATTAACATTATTTTTAGGCAGGTATTAATTTACTGCTGACAACCGTTTTGATCCAATCTAACTGTTAATTGTATGAAAGTTTTTGATTACAAGAGTCGCTTTTGATGATCCCACATCAAAATAAACATCAAATTCAAAACGCTTGTTGCATCAATTCCTCACTTTATAAATAGTTTGAGTTGTTAAAACTTTGAATAAACTTTTTTTATACATTATTAAAGCTGTGCACATGTTTTACTGAAAAACGGACAGACACTTGCTTAAGATAATCAACCAACATTGACAGGCACCAAGCCATCTAGTATCTGTCATTCTGTGCCCAGACATAATGAGACCATTACTTAATGAGGACGTAAAGTTGACTAGAGTGAATTTTTACTTGAACTATTTTAGGGACGCCAATAAGTTGGTAATAATCATTTAATTTTCATAATTGTTGATTAATTAATCTTCCTTTTATATTTTAAGCTTTTGTACTTTATTGTAAAATTTTTTGTGTGCTTATAGTTAATAAATTATTTCGGTCTGATAAGGTCCACATAGTTTGTGTTATTGTTGCTATTTCCTTAAACACTAACCATGCTATCTAGTGTTGAATGTCTAATGCAAAAGACTTTATTATTCTAAACAAAGGGTTTTTCAGACAAGATTTGTATCCTGTTTTTGCAGCAAATGTTAGTTCTTATTATTTATCATTTTATATAGTTTAAGGACTTTTCAAAGAATATCGTTCTTTTTTTAAATGACTTGTTTTTTTACCTATGTACACTACAGTTAAAAACCGTCAGAAGTTCTCGCAAAAATCAACTATAGATTTTAGCTATACATAACTCCTAGACTATACATTGATGTAACGTACTTTGGTTAATTTAATTTTTAATTTTTTTTCCATAACCAGATGCTTCAAGTGTACGTAAGTTAAGTTTTTTATTATGGTTTCTATATAATGTACTATTTCTGTTACATACGATTAAGAAGCCTTATGTAATTGGATAACGATATTCTAAAAATTACATAAGTATTAAGTTATTTTTATCAAAAAAAGTGTATTTTTTTTCCTAATACTAAGTACTTTACAGGGATCTGTTCAAATCAAATAAGCCAGAGTAGTCCAAATGACAATAATTTTAGTACATGGTGTTCAGAAAAGCCACGGTTGCAACGTTCAATGGTTCAAAGTAGGCGCACATTTCAGTTAAAAAAAAGTCGACGCAATAATATTCAGGTAACTTGGCTTTTTTTGCATATTTGTATTAATGGTTTACAAAAATCCCTTAGATAATGTAACATGTTATAAATAGAATTAACACGTCTATTCTTAGATAGGGCTGAAACGATATTCCTTGTATACCCCTTTCTAGCAAAAAAATTCCTCATCTCAGAATCCTTTTTATGTAAATGACGTGGCACTTTGAGTCAGCAACTAAATTTTTTTTTAATCAACTAAAGTTGCTTTCAATAACGGTGAGACTGTTGTTAGAAAGCTTTTGTCGGTTAGTTTTACAATACCTAGCAATTAATTCTAAAAATCGTAAAAAAGAATTCCTTACAATTTTATTGAAATTTTGAACGATTGTTTATGTAGCTTTTTACAAAACCTTATTTATTACTAAATGTCGTATGAGATACAAAAAACAAACTTACAAAGAAATTCAGTTAAAATAAAAAGTACATATTATAATTTTGCGTAACATTTAGTCGACTAATTAAGACTCAAAATAATGAGCATTTTATAAATACTTACACGAAAATTTTAAACCTGCGTCCCATGCCAATTGAACTCTTATTTTATTAGCTTAATGTAAGACAACTAAGACAAAGTTTAAAAAAATGTAAGTGTTATGGTAATACATAACTTCCATGGTAAGAACGAAGGTTGTTTGAATTTTATTTACCTTATTAATGGAAAATACTTTTATTAACTATATATAAATGTGTTTATATAACGATATTGAGTTTTGCAGAGGATGATGAGGGCCCTTTTCACCAAAAGCTAAAAATACATGCATCAGAATGGAAAGAGTAAAAATAAAGAAAAACTTTGAATCCAGTCAGTAAGAAAATGATTTTTATGCACCTGTTTATGACACAGTTGTTCTACTACTTGAGTTTCCAAGGAGCCATAAATTCTTTCACACCGTAGATTCGGATTAGTTTTTGTTTTAATGATAACTAACTGTTTTGGCCTCCAACTCAGTTGATATAGATAAGCTTAAAAATGATTCTAATGCTCTCTGATAAACTAGAGATCTTATGTAATCTGCAAAATACACAAGCAATATTGATACACTCATATCGACGCTTGTCAGTAAATTGGAGGTTATGTATTCTATGCACACCCGGATATGATATTGTTTTTATTCCTATTCATTTTTCAAATTTGCTTGAAATAGAAAATGCAAGAAAAATTTTAATTTTAAGTCTTTAATATCGACTAATAAGACTTACAATCGAAAAAAGGACATGGGTGGTTTTAAAAGTCTTTACATTAAAGTGTCACTGTCTATATAGATGACAATCAATAAATTTGTCTCTCGTAGAGTAAAGTTAAATCTCTAATTCATAAGCACGCATTCGAATTATTTTTCAACTTATTTGTTAAAACTAAGCTTGCGGTGTAAACAGCTTATAACAATTAAGAGTGAAAACTTATCTAAGCCTGCAGTACGAGAGAACGCAAGTCTTCTCGGTAGCTCAAGTGGTAAAGCAACTGTGTAGTCATCCGGAAATTGTTTATCCAAACCACACTTAGTAAATAGTACTCTTTAACAAAAGAAAATAGTAATTTTTAATCTCGAGTATATTTGCCAAAAAAAAAAAAAAAAA